ATCTTGATGTAAAAAATCTGACATATTTATGGTGTTGAGATCTAGGAGTTTGTACAATTTGGTCCAGATAATAGTCTGGACCCGACAGCCGTGTGTAGGATTGTTTGGCCTTGGCGGAGGGATACGCTCCACTTGAGTGCCATTCTAGTTAGAAAGTGCTATCTACTTCTACTCGCTCTCATTTTCAAAAGTCACCCTAACAGTATAACCACAACCACAACTTTCGATGTTTATCAACACAGACACATCAGCTGGAGTCAGACTTAAGCATCATCAGACAGCAGCAGCCAATCCCAGCCTGACTTTTCCGCGAAACCTCAGCCGACCTGCAGCTCGCCGTCTTACGCAGCTCTAATCAGCTTCTGGAGAGTTCAGTGTGGCTGTTGGCAGCCTGAATCCAGAGTTACTGTTTGGTGACATCGCATTGCATCAAAGGATAAAGAGACGGAGTAAGAGTGACAGAGCAAGTGGGGGTGAAGGGGGTTGGGTGGGGAGGTGACAGGAAGGATTGACGAAAACAGATTGCGACATGTTGGAATGAGCCGGCCTGCTAACAGCGGGCGAGAGAAATGCCACCGCTCTGCATGATTATGAATTTGCAGAAAACAGGCATGGATTGATTTAGCCGGAGCAATTATGCGATGCAGCCTGATAGCTGAGACACGAAACCTGTTTGGTGCAACAGATGAACTGAACAACTGTTGTCTGACAGCTGAAATGTGGAAGTAGCGTATAGGCAAATGACAAGCAAGGCCTGCTTTTTTATTTTCTTTTTTTTTTTTCTCCTTTTCACAGCTAGCAGTACGTTCTCCCTGCCTGGCTTTCAGTCGCCCTCCCTCCTTTGCTCTTCATGCAAATCTGTCTTTTTCTCTCCATCTCTCTGTTTCTCTTTCCATGGTGACAGACGGTGCCTCCTGTGCAGTTTAACAGTTATTACTCGCTCTGAAACACACTGACTCAGAGAGAGAGAGAGAGAGAGAGAGAGAGAGAGAGAGAGGCAGAGGTAGAGAAAGATGGGTGATGGAGGGAGTTTGGCTGATTAACAATGTTGAAGTATCTGGAAACTGTATATGGAAGAGAGAGAGAGTATATGTGTGTGAAAGGGAGAGAGAGAGAGAGCAGATTAAGTAACTCATGGTCTTCATCAGTAAATTGAGCTTGCTCAGTTATCATCACATGACCGAACTTTTAGTTCACTCTCGCTCTTTTTTCACCGTTTTCTGACATTTTAAACAATTAATAATTGTAATAATTGGAAAGAAATAAATGAATCATCAATTACAGCCCTAATATATACTATACGTAGTTTTGTGAGGTTATTTTTTTTTGTATATTGTCTATCAGTTGTGTTTTTTATTAAGAATTTCATTGTACAGATTCCTGTTGGAAATGCTGCAGACGACCTGTTGAACTTTCCCTTCCAAACACCCAAATGGAGAAACGCCAGAGAGCTATTAATATACACAGAGGAGCATATAAACAAATTTACTCTGTAGTCATATCACAAGCCAGATCTATAAAAAAAAAATAGTGGGGGCAGAGCTGTGGCATAGGATCAGTAGTATCAGAGAGAGGCTGACTGTCAATCAGAGGCAATACATGTCAACAAGCAGCTGCTCGGGCCTCCTGAAGTGTCTCTGAGCAAGATACTGAAGTCCCACCAGCTCTAGATGTGCTCTGTCGTTGCTCCTGCGATTGACTACCGGCCTTGGTGTCAAGGTGGGATAAACAAAATAGTATGTGTCAGGAGTGTCAGGAGACAACATGAGTGCACACTGAAGCCGTGCTCTTTCAGAGTTTCCTTCAGGCTTGTTTGCTGTTAAATTTTTCACATCATTTCACCGGCCAAGAGTTTCAAGCTCGCTATCTCCAAACTTTACTCAACCTAGATAAGAACTTAGAGCTTTCAAATAGCACTTGCACAAACACACAAACACTCTTTCTCCTCTGTCATTCAGCTCAGTCACAAAGGTTTTAGTAATGCCCAGTGAAGTCAATATATACTGTATGCAGCTGTGTGTGCATGTGTGGGTATCTTGTGCAAGTGCTTGCATGTGCATTGATGCTCGCACCCTGCATTTGCATCGGTGCGTATGTGAAAGTGTTAGATGCTGGAGGCATAGCCCACCGGTTAAGGAGGAGGCCGAGTTTTGGACTGTTGGTCAAATAAAACAAGCAATCTGAAGGCCTGAGTTTCACATCTGATTAACGTGAGCATGTGGCACAGGGGTGGGTGGGTGGTGTTCCAGAGTGAATGAGCACCAAATGTGGATATGGTGTGTATATAGCGAGTGGACGTACAAAGTCGGACGGTATATGGAGTATGTGACCGGGCAAAGACTTCCATGCCCGCCTGAACCACAACCAGGCTCCATTCAGCTGATTGATTGATAATGAAATAATAGTTGCACTAAAATGGATTTGTATGGACCTGATGGACTGATATCTGTTGGTTCCAAAGATCATGATCCTGAATATTAAATCTTTGGCTGCAGTCTGGCTGCAGGATTTCCGCCAGTAGACGATTAGCTTCATGTTTTTAACCAGAAACCAACATGTCTCAGTTCTGTGCTCATGGGAAGGAGCAACATCATGACATCCTCATGCTTTTTCCTCTGAAAACTGAACCCTGAAGAAGATGTACACAAGAAAAATCTGTGTTCCAGAAAACTGCAGCTTTTCACAAGTTGGAAAATAACTGAGTGTTAGTGGAGGCTTTCTATCTACTGAGTGCTTTCTAGTTTGAGTTTGACATTGAGTGAAATAAAAGCAGGGAGAGACACTGGCAGAGATAAAAAGAAAATGATTAAGTGATAGAGAGAGGAATATGTGCTAGACCAATAAAGAGATGTATATAGAGGGAGGCCTGATGCATGAGAGCAATGAGTGAGTGTGTGTGAGTGCATGTGTGTATTGGTGGGGGATGGGGGTCACTTTGGTGACTAATCATTTCCGTTTGAAACCCAGAGAGACAGAGGCCCCCAGGGGCAGCAGTTCATTTTCTGATGAGTGCACACACACACACACACACAAACACACACACACACACACACACACACACACACACACACACAGAAACATGCACACCAACTCGCCTCATTCCCCCCTTTGATGCAATCTGCAGATAGGATACAGTCATCGGTTTATGAGAGCATGAATTGTGCACAGGCATGTAGGCGCTCACACACACACACACACACACACACACACACACATACACACACACACAGTGATGTCAAATGGTCTCATATATTTCAGGTTTGTCAGACGGAGCATAACTCTGTCAGATAGATACAATAACAACCTGTGCCCGCTCACTTACTTTTAATTCTCCTTTTTAGCCTTAAGACAACTAATAATTCTGTTGTATGACAAGTGGGATTCTTCAAATAACGCTTTGATTGGATGCATTCAAATCTAATGTTTCTTTTTTGTGCACAGCTTACATGAACAGACAATGAAAACATGACCCAAATACAAAATAACAGCGCTGTAAGAGAGAAATGCAACATTTAGAAAACAGGATGATGAAGTAGCAGAAGGCTGTATGCAAAACAGTGGGAAGGAAGATCAGTGACAATAGTGATACAAAGCTGTCTTTTTTTATGTGGATATGTGCAGCTGCAACCTATTTCAGGTTCGATTTCGACCATGTGTTCCAGCTTCCACTGGTTTGCTATGATACTGTAATTCAGGGTGAGCTGTGATTTAAAAAGTCATTTTCACGGTGCGATGAGGAAATAAAGTAGGAGGTGGTTCTATTTTTCCTTCAAGCAGCAGAATTTCTCCAACCTAAAGCAGGTGGTAGAAACAGTTGGAAAATAACCTTAAAGGTCTGGGTTCATTAGAGGGCAAGTCCACTGATTTACAGGGTTACTGCTGCATAGTGTATGTGCAAAAAGTTCTGGGAAAAACATCTGGGATGTCTGGAGTTGGAAAGAAGTGAGCTTATCAGACCTCTGTAGCCTGCTACTAGCATAACACACCTGAATCTCCCGCCCGAACTGTTGAACGGTCGAGTTGCATTGTGGTTAATGTCGGCGCCAGATTTTGACAGAGTCAAAAAATGCATGGGATTAAAAAAAAAAAAAAGACAGTATCTCTGGATCTGCTGCACTGAACAACACTAAAGTTGGTGCCAAGTTAATTCTTCGACCGCCATATTAATTCCGCAGGGTGTTTTTAGGAAGCACTTGAACATGTAAAGACCTGCATGTGTGCAAGCCTTCAGTTTGACTTCCCAGACCTGTGCAGAGATCAGTATGGGAAAATGAAATGAACTTACCTTTGAACAACCACCTTTGCGATGCCCTTGGGCGCAGCGTTTAACTGCCAGCTGCTCCAGTGGACTCACAGTAACACACACTAAAGGTGTGAAGGCGTCTGAGAATAAGCAGCATGCCTGACTAACCGTCCTCATGTGAAAGAAATGTCATGAAAAGTCTTTTTTTCCCCTCTTTTCATCCTCATCAGTCACTTCTTTGTCACAGTCCTCCCCTCAGGCGACTGTCATTTCTCCCAACCATGTCTCGCACCTTTTCCCTCATACTAATGAAATCACACCCTTCTGTGCCCATCCCCCCTCATCTTCCTTTTTCTTTTCTCACTGTTCAGTCTACTAATAAATAAAAATGTCCATCTACTTATCGACACCTCCTCTTCTCTTCTAGCCCCTTCTCTCTCTGTCCCACAATCCTTTTCTGCTCATCTCTGCTGCAGCTAATCACTAATTAACTTTCATAAGGTCCCACAGCTCAAACAAAGTCCCAGAGGGGAAACAGCTACATACAGTATTTAATCACTGGGTGTGTACAGGCATACATCCACGTTTCTGCCTCTGTGTGCGTGTGTGTGTGTGTGTGTGTGTGTTGTACAGCTGTTTCCCCCATTACAGGGTCAAGTGTTTGTGTGAGGATGACAATAGAAATAAGATGAATGCAACGGCCGCAGACGCCGCCGTCAACAGATTCTTAATGCTCCGCTTTCTTTCATGTGCACAGGAAGTGACACCATGACAACAGAAATGCAGGAGATCGCCATCACGGAGGAGAAGCCTTTACTCACGGGTCAGCCTGACACCGCCAAGGTCAGAGATGGTGCTGCACACACACACACACACAGACACACACACACATAAACAAAGCCTACAGAGACATGTACACACATCATAAATTTCACACACATGCTGCATGTGAATACACACATGTAGGCTGATTTTGCTTGCAAATTCAAGCATGGAGAAACACACATGAGAACACACCAGTGCATTAATTGCATGGTTGTCATTGTGTAACGTATATGATCTGAAACCTCAGATAAATGGCAGAATGTGTGTGTGTTTGTGTGTGTGTGTCTGTGTGTCAATTGTGTCTGTGTCCCAGGAGACAGAAAAACAAGGGCTGGTTTGTGTGTGAGTGTGTTGAGCATGTGTGTCCTTGCTGTGCATATGTGAATGAATGCGAGTGTGTGTGCTTTTGAGTCTGAGCAAAGCCTACATGTGACAGCATGTGTTTCAAACACATGTGCGCACAACTGTGTTTGTAAATCCACGTCTTTACATATATGTGTGTGTGTGTATTCGTGCACAGCTGCAGCACTGGCTCACATCAGCCGGGCTGACGTCAAAGCCCCTGAGGGAGCGCGAGCAGCTCCTCTGCTCTGCTGCGCTGATGTTGCCGTGCAGATGCAGCGCTGCAGAACACAGGAGTTTGTTGCTCACCGCTGACACCTGGTGGGCAAAGAGGAAGCGACAGCTCTAAAACATCTACAAAAACAACAGCCACAGATTTACAAAAGGCAGAAATTACAGGATTTAATGTGTTTAACTGACATCCAGCAACCTTCTGACGGAACTCAAAGACAGTGTTCCTGTTTGCAGATGAAAAACATTCGAGTGAACAACTTTCACTTGTATTGGAGTGATGTTTGACCAGGAGGATCTATACATTGACTCAAGTAATGAAGTTGGTTGCATTGTCCACCTCTGTTAATTAGTTGCTGCCACAGAGAGCCATGTTGTCCTTCAGTTGTAGTTGTAGTAAATGTGAAGATGATGGACCAATCAATCTGGGCTGTGACTGTGAAAAAATACTCATATAGGGTCATCAGTCTTGCCTGAAGCATGGGCTCCAGCATGACTCATGGGAGTGAGCTGAGTAATTCTGAGTAGGAAATCTAATGAAGACTGGGAGGTTGTAGGTTACATCCAGCCCTCCATTGTTCCCTGGGACCTCCTGCCTCCGCCCACATGTGTTACCATCCATCCTGAGCCAGTGAACACATGCGCAGCTCTGTGATCAAGTCTTAATATGATTTCTATGGATTGAACTAGTGACCTTTATAATCCAGCCACGGGCCGTCTCTTCAATCACCAAACCTCCAGGATTCTCCGTTTTCTCCTCAGCGATGACGCCCGTCTCCACTTCAACCTCGCAAACTGCTAATTTTCTTAGAGCTTGTGATGTTAGTAATTCATTAGCGGGGTAAATGGATCTAAGGTTGCAAATGAACAGCCCCATTTAAAACCTCCCACTGACAGATTTCCTCCGTATAATCTCAGACATCCAATAACCACCTGCGCCTCTGAAGAGGTTCTCTGCTGCTTTATCGGGAGTGTAATGCCGCCCCTCCCGCCTGTGTGGGTGTTAATTAGGAAGCAAGGCCTCCCAAAAAAGCTGAGAATTTTCTCTTGTATATGCTATTTCCTTTCATCTCAGATTCCTTGTGTGTAGAGTGTCTCAGGTCCCAAACATCAGAACATTTTTTTTTAATACTCAAGTGTGATTTTGTGTTTTTTGGAAATGAATCTATTTCCCTCTAAAAACCCACCTACTCCCACGCGCCCATGAGGTTGACATCTGTTGTCAGTGAATGAACCGTAAGACTCAGAAGTAAAATGACCACTTGCATGAAAAAAAACAAGTCTGAAGATCGCACAAACAGCTTCAAATTTGACTTCCCTCTTCCTTTATTTGTTACAGGATGCTGAACTGGCGGCGAGGATACTCCTGGACCAAGGACAGGTAAGACCACTCATCAACAACATCCATCCCAAAATGTCAGTATCAGGCTTAAAACCTGTTTCTCTCGCTCTCAGGAGCACAGTGTCGAGACCCCACATGGCGTTTTGCACGTGACCCTCCACGGCACACGAACCACCCGCAGGCCCGCCATCCTCACCTTCCACGATGTGGGTCTGGAGAGTGAGTAGCCCCCCCCCCCCCCGTCAGTTCTGACTCACATAATCTTTCCCCTGTCCGTGATCATTTGTTTTATCCTCTGTTTCTTTCCGGCAGGTAAGAGCTGCTTCTCCACTCTGTTCAAGTTCGAGGAGATGCAGGAGATTGTCAAGAACTTCACCCTGATTCATATTGATGCTCCGGGGCAAGAGGAGGGGGCTGCTGCCTACCCCACAGGGTACGAGAAATACTGTGTGTACATCAGTGTGTTGACATGCTGGTATTCCCTCACTGTCCTGCAGTAACCTTGTTTTTTTCTTTAAAAGAAAAAGTAATCTTCTCAGAAATGGAAACAGTCTTCTGTGCCAGGCTTAGACCTAATCTCTTCCAAAAAATACTTAAAAATTCCCATCGCTCACATCTCCCGCCTCTGGTCTCTAATACACTCGTGTCAGAGGTTTAAAGAAAATCCGTCTCTCTCTCTCTCTCTCTCTCTCTCTCTGTCTGTCTGCACTAAGTATTTCTTCCCCTTGGCACTTCTCTATCACCTCTCTCTCTCTGGTGAAGAGACCCTTAACTCCTGATGCTGATTCTTATTTGGTCTCATTTCAAATCCCTGCAGATAAACGTGTCAGCCACCGTATGCGCTTAATAAGTAGAACCTGAAAATCATCATGTATTGTGAATGTTGTTTGGTCAATTACTACAAATGGTTTTGGTGAGATCTTCTGGTCAGAAAACACCCCCCACCCGAGACTGTATTGTTCATTTTTGCGCATTGAATGTTGACGTGTGTGTTTTTGCTTTCATGCTGTGATGCTCCATCAGACTGACATCATGTGTGTTTGCTGTTGCAGGTACCAGTATCCCTCCATGGAGACCATAGCAGAGATGATCCCGGCCGTGCTGCAGTTTTTCAAGTGAGTTAACTTATTTATTTTGTTATGGATATAATATTAAAATATGGTTTCAACTTTAAATCGATACAAGGTGTAAAAACTTGTATCACTCTGCACAACCATCATAAATTAAAAAATATTACCTAGAACACCTGAATGCTACAGTACCCATGAGCATCCCTGGCTGTGGCTGCACAGTGAAGACACCAACCACAGCTACAGAACCAGAAACCAAACCCTGCACCATCCTTTCTAAACTTTGAATGTATCAAGAATCTAAAAGAAAACAAATTCAAGATCAACTGAATGAAGAAGCAAGATTCATTTTTCTGTTTTTACTTAAGTGCTCTGAACCAAAACGCATGTTCTTATTCTTAAACAGCCAGTGACATAACATTGTCTCATTCAGACATTTAGCCGCCCTCTTCAATCAATGAGAAAATATTATAATATTTCGACTTCAAAGATATAAATATATATATTTTTAAAACTAAACCTATATCTTCAGTAAAAAAAATATGATTGTTAAATGAGTGTGTGTCTCCTTCTGGCAGCTTCCGTACTGTCATCGGAGTGGGTGTGGGAGCAGGAGCGTACATCCTCTCCAAGTTCACAGTGAGTGTCTTTTGTTCTCTGGCGTCATGACAGCCGTGGTAGCAACACGTTGTAAACAGGTATGAAGTAATGCACCGCCCTGATCAGCAGCTCTTCTAGACTGGGTTTTCTCCTCTTTTAGAAGTCACCTCTTACCTTCTCCGTCCTCCTGAGTGTCAGTGTCCTATAAGTGCAATCACAATAATATAACAATAACATATTCAAACACCAAAGAGGATTATAAAGCTGATGAGAACAGAACAGAAACAAAGTAAAGAGGATGGAAAATCTATGATAATACTATTACGTTCATAGCAATAATACTGGTGTGTACATGTATGTGTGTAATTAGAGATTTAAAATTCTTTTTTTTTTTGTCGTTTATCTGTTTGTTTCTTCCTCTCTCTCTTCAGCTCGCAAACCCAGATTCAGTGGAGGGTCTGGTTCTGGTCAACATCGACACTAACGCCCGCGGATGGATAGACTGGGCCGCTCAGAAGGTACCGTATGTCTATTTATTCTTTCTTTCTTTCTTTCTCTCTCTCTCTCTCCCTCTCTCTCTCTCTGTCTCTCTCGGGACTTCATCGTCTGATACACAGAAACATGGTATTTTAATCTAGTTAGTCCTAATGCGACTTCTCCATCGATTTAACTTTAGCTGGGATTATGAAGTGATGTGACTGCATGTGTCCTCTGTCCCTGAGCAGCATTGATTATGTCATTGTTTAAGTTATTAAACTTACTAAATGATGACGAATCGTATTGATTTCTCTCTCTTCCTCTGCCTCTCCAGCTCAGCTCTGTGACGTCCTCCCTCACAGAGCAGATCCTGTCCCACCTCTTCAGTCAGGTACCAGGAAAACATGTCTATAATAATGTGTTTTAAAAGTCTATATTCAAATGATGTTTTCTATTTAAACATAAAATAAATGTCTAAACTTAGCATATGTCACCTGGTCACTTAAATCATTTTGTCTTTTGGGTTGTTTTCTCTTGTAGGAGGAGCTGTCATCAAACACAGATCTAGTGCAGTCTCACAGAGACCGTATCTCCAAAGCTCCTAATCTGGTCAACATAGAGCTCCTCTGGAAGACTTACAACAGGTGAACACGCTGACATATTCTCACATAAACACAAATATCCCCCACGCCAAACAACAACCAACATAATCTCCTCTTTTCACTCCCATCCAGTCGCAGAGACTTGAACATTGACCGCAACAGCACCTTCAAGTAAACAACCTTTTTAACTTTAATATTTGCACATTATATTATGTACTGACTTAAAAAAGAAACACAAACCCTTCTCTGTTCTAATCTCTACTTCCTCAGGTGTCCAGTAATGTTGGTGGTGGGTGATCAGGCTCCATATGAGGACGCTGCTGTAAGTTTCAGCTGCCCTCTTTTTCAAGTTTCAAATGTTCTTAGTTTAGTTCTTAGTTTGCCATAACTGTTCAACCGTATGTCAGAGACTGATTGTTTTTTCCCTGTGTGACCACCAGGTGGAGTGCAACAGCAAACTGGACCCAACGACAACCTCATTCCTAAAGGTAACCAACCCTCCTGTGTTTTTATGAAGTGCCTCTCTCTCTGTCATTCACTCTTACTCATGTCTCATGTCCCTCCACAGATGGCTGATGCCGGTGGTCTCCCACAGCTGACCCAGGTAACAACACGCTGACCGACACTTTCTGATAGTCAAAACATGGAAATCAATTATTATTGGGGTGGCAACTAACAAAACCAATTATTTCCTCAATTAATTCATTAATCGTTCAAAAAATTTCCCTGAAGACCAAGTTCAAATCAACCAACAGTAAAGAGTCAAATCCTCATATTTAAGAGGCTGGAAGCTGCAAGTTTTGTCATCTTTGCTTGAAAAATGACTAAAACTATTAATAATTAATAAATGACTTAAAGAGGGTGGGTAGGGTATTTGCTGTTGCGCTCCTCAACTGTGGAATAATCTCCCATTGAGTATTAGAGAGGCTACATCAGTGTCCTCCTTTAAAACTCTTTTAAAAAAAGGTTTTTATGTCTGGGAAGCACTTTGTAAACTTGTTTTTCAAAAAGTGCTATAGAAATAAATTATCATTATTATTATTATTATTGTTACTGATTCATTTTCTCAAAAGTAACTTGTGTGTTTGCTGAACAATCACACGGTGGGGGCTTCAACAGAGAAAAACATCCCATCATACAAACTTCTGCACGCTGTTTGCCAAAATTAATGCATGAAAAATTCTTTATGCACATGAATTGATGCATTAAAACATAAGAAAAGAAAGACACAATCACTCCATCGATTCAAGAGTGACATCTTGACCTGCTGTTTAACTGATATTTTCGGTCTAAATGTGGACATTTCCTGTAATTGAAAGTCCTTTAACTTTACACTGTTACGCTCGGCTGCCACATGGGGTCACCAAATTGCACTCTTACCTACTTCAGGTAATAATTAGTGATTTCAGAATGTGAAACACTTGTGTCTTGTCTTTGTGTTTGCAGCCTGCTAAACTGACTGAGGCTTTCAAGTATTTCATCCAAGGCATGGGCTACAGTAAGTACACTTCTGTTAATAGAAATATTTTTGTGAACAGATTACACATAGTGCAGTGATACGTAAGGTAATAATTGCCAAGGTGCTCCTCTTTATTGGATTTCATTACGTACAGTACTATATGTAATTTTTATGCTCACCATGTCGCATTGCTTGACGCTGAAAACATGTATCACCAACCTGAACAGACAAGGCTGGTGATTTTTTTTATATTTTTCTCATTGTCAACAAATCCCATACAAAGACCAAAACCAACAATGAATATATCCTATTAACAAGTACTGTCTGTGTAGCCAAATCCTGATATAGCTTAATCCCCCTGTGCCATAGAGCTCCATTGTCGTCCCTAGGCTATAAAAAAAAAACACATCAGTGAGGCACCTCACTGCACTGGATGACAGGCTGCGGCTTATTTTCAGTCAATCCCACATAAACCGGCCTGCTGCCAAAAACACTCACTGCGCCTTATGTGTATTTATCCGCAGCTGAAAATAGTCCCTAGTACCGTTTGTGAAAAACAACAGTGGCTCACTGTTCTTAGAAATATTTTGAATCTTTTTTGAAAATTTAAGCCGTACGCCTGGCTGAGAGCCACAGACAGGGTCGTGAAGTTGGAAAGTATTGAGAGACGAGCTAGTACGTTGTTGGTTTCGCTATTTAATCGGGTTTTGTCGACAATAAGTAAAATACAAGAACAATACGAGTCTTATCCTTAGCTTTAGTGTACTGTTTCCAATTTGTGAGTCTAATCTTGCCGTCCATTTCTTTCTATCCGTCTCTCTGCAGTGGCTTCATCTTGCATGACCCGCCTGTCCCGCTCCCGCACCACCTCCCTCTCCTCCTCCTACTCCATGGATGGATCCCGCTCTCGCTCCCGCACCCTGTCCCAGGGCTCGCAGGGTGGCCAGATGCCACCGAGCCCCTCCCAAACGATGGAGGTGTCTTGCTGAAGAAGTTAAAGAGAGAGAGAAAGAGAGAGAGTGAGAGAGAGAGAAAGAAAGCAAAAGAGAGAGAGACAGTGTGAGTGAGAAAGAGAAGAGGCCAGAGGCGAAAGGAAGGGAGAGGTGGTAGCATGACAGTAATACAGGAACAAGACGAATTTTGTCACTAAACAACTCCCATCATTCCCCACGAGAGCAGAATAGGAATAGAGACAGGGATGAGGGAGGGAGAAAGAGAAACCTATCCTCCACATTTTGCACCACATACAAGTCCAATCCTTCTCCTCACATCCCCCCTTCCAGTTGAAAACAAAGTGGATTGAGTTTTCCTACAATGAATATAAGAAGTATAGGCAAGAAGAGATTAATAAAAAAATTTAAAAAACGGGGGAGGTGGGGAAAGAATGGCAACCAGTCCTCTCTCCCTCCCTCTATTGGAACCTCTGTCAGCCAATAGAGCCCTTTAATTTAGATGAGGGGTGTGTCCTATAGAGACCACACACCTTTGCGTTAACCAATAGTAATAATTCTGAAAATGGTATTGTTGTTGATGCTGATGATTATGTTGTTGATGATGATATTGAAGCTAATGATGATGATAATGTAATAGAAAAAAAACAGTTAACACTTTTCTCTTTATTACGCAAGGAGTTTAAAAATGACAAAAAAAACAACAAAAAAAACATACTATAGCAGAGATACTTATAACAATGTGTGTCTACTACTTTTTAAGCTAGTTTTTATTGTGTTATTTTTATTTCTTTAATTGGATTTTATTTTCTTATTTGTAACCTGCCTCAGCGAGGGGCTGAAGCTACTGATTGGTTGACCCGTCACGTGGTAACAGCCAATGAGAGCCATTATAGTGACTACTTCCTCCTTGATGTTGCCAGGTTGTTTATGTCTTCCATTTGCCCTGTCTTTAAGTGACTGTTTTGTTTTCCCATTTGGATTTGAGGAGGTGGGCAGGAAGCTTTTACTGTTTTTCGTTTTTTGTTGTTTTTGTTTGTTTGTTTTGTTTTGTTTTTTTTTCTTTTTCTGGACTGTTTGGAAGTTGCATGCCTGGTATCAGCCCATGTGAATACTGACAGGATAATATTTTTCTTTTATATTCTGCTGATGAGTTGTGTGGATTTGTGTGTGTGTGTGTGTGTGTGTGTGTGTGTGTGTGTGTTGTTTGCTTGGAGTGTTGATGGCAGGTAAGCATAGGCGAGACTGAGGGTGTTTGTACGCTTTAGCTAGCTCGCGCCCTATTGTTAACACTAGACGCACACTAAATAGTGCTTCCAACATCGCTGGCAGTCTTGCACTGGATGTTCCTAATATCTACACTCAGTGTGCTATTTACCAGGGAGCATTACATCACTCAGTAGCATGCTAGTATGGATATTGTATTTCAGTGTTAGGCGTGGCCAGAAGGGATCACTGTGTTCATCATCTGGGTTGTAATCTCTTAGCCTTGCCCACGCATGGATACCTCCTAACAAACCCAGCTACCATACTTGAGTTTATGTGCGATGTGAGGTAAAATGAACACACGCTCCTCTCTGGCAACAAGTGGCTGTATTCAAGCAATGGGGTCAAGAGAATTGTGTCTGCAAGTGGTGTGTGGTGTGTGTGTGTGTGTGTGTGTGTGTCTGTGTGTCTGTGTGTCTGTGTGTGTGTGTGTGTCCAAGAAAGTAAGTGTCAGGTGTATGGAAGTGTCCTGTAAGCACAATTAATTAACACAGCAAAGAAACAGGCCAGGGTCCTATAGAGAAGCATCCATTTTGAGACCAACAAAAACCCCCTGTGATTTATTGATGACAATGAACCAGCCCCGCCACTGCCACAGAGGAAAAGATACAGGAATGTTGCCACCAAGGTTTCACCTCTCTGGTGCAGCCTCAGTCATAAGAGGCAAAGGATTTTGCGTTTTCTGTTTTTGAGAGTGAAAGCTGATCAGCGAATATCTGCACCTTGAGACAACCAGTCTTTAATTACAGCCAATAAGCAATCTTACTGCCAAAACTAAGAGCCCCAAAATGCTAGGGATATTTTTTTTGTCAAAATTCTGTCATCAGAAATGGTGTGAGCTAAATTACGCCTTATAGCATCAGTTCTGTCTCTAAAACTGAATCTGAATTCCTTCTACGTCGTTAATATTTCAGCAGCAGATGAACACAAAGCTTACCACTGCCCTGTGATGTGTAGCCATTGGACTGTATTTTTAAAGGACCCTTATTTGGACCCAATCCAATAATATCCTTGGAGCACGTGCATTTTTAAGTGTGTCACCCCTGTGCACACATTTTGTTCTTTGATGCAACTTTGGTTTTCTTTTTTTTTTCTTTTTATATGAGTCAGTTTGGAGGTTGTCTGTTTCTTTCACATGCTGTCCGGTGCTCCTTTCCCAAACCTGTTTGATGATGTGAACATGATGGAGCAGAGATTTTGATGACAGCGACAGGAAAGTCATTGGAGGGTCTCAGATTTGAGCTTTAAACTGAAACTTGGGAGATATTAATGGTGGTGGTCAAGAATGTGCTGAGATGCCAATATGTTTTAGGCACTGTCCAGAGGACTGAAGTGTAGAATGTAAATGTATGGCTCTTCCCACACTGATATTAAAACTCAAACAATCGGACATGGGAACCTCTACCAAATAATGGATAAGGGGTGGAGCCTAGGAAATAAAGTTGCCAAATTAGGAAAAAGGAGTGGTACGTCTTTGTGGAGAGTTGAGCAGGGCTGTGTGATTGTAAATGCTTGTCCATTTTGTCTTTGTCTGTCTCTTAATTTTTACTTCGATCATGTTTTTCTTTCCCCTCTGTGTTTTGGAATTTTACTTTATTTTTATTTTTGTTTGTTTGTTTTATCTCTGTGAAGTGTTAGTTTACCGTCCTGATGTGCTCACAAGTTAGTTAACTGTGTGATAGTTCTTGTGTAACTTTTTTAGCATTAGCGCTGATAAAGGAGAATAATATAATTAACAATAAAAAATAAAAAAAAAGATTAAAGGTAAAGAGAATACAATCAAATTTACTTGTGTGGCTAATTTCTCTGTGTAACACAATGAACATCCTAAAAGCAAACTTAAATATTATTAAAAGCTCAACAAAAATATCTTGTCTCCTGTGTTTTCATTTTCATGTGAAAAAAAACTGTGGATGTTATATACATTTTGCCTTTGCAGTATTTCTAGTCAATGAGGAAGACAGAGGGGCACACCAGCAAGATGTGTCCAGGCTGAGTCCTGGCCTGGGTTTGAATCCAGCCTGGGTCCTTTGTTGAGTGTCATTCCTTCTCTCTCCCCTGTCTTCCCCGTCTATCTCATCACTGTCTGTCAATGAAATAGTAAAATGGACAAAAATAAATCTTAAATAATAGGACCATCTTGAATGTGATAAAAGGGGGTAGGTTTGCATACGGTCGGTAGGGTCTTGTCCATACCAATATTATGGGACAGAATTGTCTAGGCAGTATTAGAGTGAACTCATTTGCACTATGTTTGGAGTGAAGTCATAGATCATTCCAAGAGGCATCTCCAACACAACTGATTTAGGAATGCTAGTGCTTGATTGTAAGGGCAGGGGCTATCTCAAGGCTCACATCATGTGAGAATATCACAGGAGGAAACTTTGCACATCTATTCAGTGAGGCAGGTGCATAGGAGCAGGTTTAATACATGACATACTAAATAATCCAAACAATTTAAAAGAAATGTTTCGGTCTTAGACCTTCAAGGTCACAGTGGTATCTCAGTGGTACCTAACGTCACCAGGAAAATGTCAACTGATGTTGTTTAACCATGTTAACTAACGTTAACTAGCAGGCTTACCCTGGTTTCTGTTTTCTGTAAGCTAGCAGTCAGGTTGCTAGCAGGAATCAACATAACATTTTTTTTTGACATTTTATGCAATACTATACTATGACATTTTTTGACATTTTTATGCCATACTATACTATGTCGTTTTATGGCATTTTTATGTCGTACTATACTATGTCATTTCATTCCTTACCATACTATGGCGTTTTTATGACCTTTTATACCATAAAATACTATGATGTTTTTTTGACGTTTTATGCCATGTTATACTATGACATTTTTTGACATTTTTATGCCATACTATACTATGACATTTTATGTCATTTTCATGCCGTACTATACTATGTCATTTCATACCTTGCCATACTATGGCGTTTTTATGACCTTTTATACCATAATATACTATGACGTTTTTTGACATTTTTGTGCCATACCATACTATGTCATTTTATGGCATTTTTATGCCGTAATATACTATGTCATTTCATTCCTTACCATACTAAGCTGTTTTTATGACATTTTACACCATAATATACCATGATGTTTTTTTGACATTTTATGCCATACTATACTATGACATTTTTTGACATTTTTATACCATACTATACTATGACATTTTATGCCATTTTCATGCCTCACTATACTATGTCATTTCATGCCTTGCCATGCTATGGCGTTTTTATGACCTTTTATACCATGCGATACTATGACATTTTTTGACATTTTTATACCATCCTATACTATGTCATTTTATGGCATTTTTATTCCTTTCTATAATATGTCATTTCATGCCTTGCCATACCATGGTGATTTTATGACATTTTAAACCATACTATACTATGACATTTTTTGACATTTTTATGCCATACTATACTATGACATTTTTTGACATTTTTATACCATCCTATACTATGTCATTTTATGGCATTTTTATTCCTTTCTATAATATGTCATTTCATGCCTTGCCATACCATGGTGATTTTATGACATTTTAAACCATACTATACTATGACATTTTTTGACATTTTTATACCATCCTATACTATGTCATTTTATGGCATTTTTATTCCTTTCTATAATATGTCATTTCATGCCTTGCCATACCATGGTGATTTTATGACATTTTAAACCATACTATACTATGACATTTTTTGACATTTTTATACCATCCTATACTATGTCATTTTATGGCATTTTTATTCCTTTCTATAATATGTCATTTCATGCCTTGCCATACCATGGTGATTTTATGACATTTTAAACCATACTATACTATGACATTTTTTGACATTTTTATACCATCCTATACTATGTCATTTTATGGCATTTTTATTCCTTTCTATAATATGTCATTTCATGCCTTGCCATACCATGGTGATTTTATGACATTTTAAACCATACTATACTATGACATTTTTTGACATTTTTATACCATCCTATACTATGTCATTTTATGGCATTTTTATTCCTTTCTATAATATGTCATTTCATGCCTTGCCATACCATGGTGTTTTTATGACATTTTAAACCATACTATACTATGACATTTTTTGACATTTTTATGCCATACTATACTATGACATTTTTTGACATTTTTATGCCATACTATACTATGACATTTTTTGACATTTTTATGCCATACTATACCATGTCATTTTTTGACATTTTTATGCCTTGCTATACCATGTCATTTTATGGCATTTTTATGCCTCACTATACTATGTTGTTTTATTCCTTACCATGCTAAGCCGTTTTTATGACATTTTACACCATAATATACCATGATGTTTTTTTGATGTTTTATGCCATACTATACTATGACATTTTTTGACATTTTTATACCATACTATACTATGACATTTTATGGCATTTTCATGCCGTACTATACTATATCATTTCATGCCTTACCATACTATGGCGTTTTTATGACATTTTACACCATAATATACCATGATGTTTTTTTGACATTTTATGCCATACTATACTATGACATTTTTTGACATTTTTATGCCATACTATACTTTGTCGTTTTATGGCATTTTTATGCCTCACTTTACTATGTCATTTCATTCCTTGCCATACTAAGGCGTTTTTATGACCTTTTATACCATAATATACTATGATGTTTTTTTGACGTTTTATGCCATACTATACTATGACATTTTCTGACATTTTTATACCATACTATACCATGACATTTTATGGTATTTTTATGCCGTACTATACTATGTCATTTCATTCCTTAACATACTAAGACGTTTTTATGACATTTTACACCATAATATACTATGATGTTTTATTATGTCATTTCATGCCTTGCCATGCTATGGCGTTTTTATGACCTTTTATACCATAATATACTATGATGTTTTTTGACGTTTTATACCATACTATACTATGACATTTTATGGCATTTTCATGCCGTACTATACTATGTCATTTCATGCCTTGCCATGCTATGGCGTTTTTATGACCTTTTATACCATAATATACTATGATGTTTTTTGACGTTTTATACCATACTATACTATGACATTTTATGGCATTTTCATGCCGTACTATACTATGTCATTTCATGCCTTGCCATGCTATGGCGTTTTTATGACCTTTTATACCATAATATACTATGATGTTTTTTGACGTTTTATACCATACTATACTATGACATTTTATGGCATTTTCATGCCGTACTATACTATGTCATTTCATGCCTTGCCATGCTATGGCGTTTTTATGACCTTTTATACCATAATATACTATGATGTTTTTTGACGTTTTATACCATACTATACTATGACATTTTATGGCATTTTCATGCCGTACTATACTATGTCATTTCATGCCTTGCCATGCTATGGCGTTTTTATGACCTTTTATACCATAATATACTATGATGTTTTTTGACGTTTTATACCATACTATACTATGACATTTTATGGCATTTTCATGCCGTACTATACTATGTCATTTCATGCCTTGCCATGCTATGGCGTTTTTATGACCTTTTATACCATAATATACTATGATGTTTTTTGACGTTTTATACCATACTATACTATGACATTTTATGGCATTTTCATGCCGTACTATACTATGTCATTTCATGCCTTGCCATGCTATGGCGTTTTTATGACCTTTTATACCATAATATACTATGATGTTTTTTGACGTTTTATACCATACTATACTATGACATTTTATGGCATTTTCATGCCGTACTATACTATGTCATTTCATGCCTTGCCATGCTATGGCGTTTTTATGACCTTTTATACCATAATATACTATGATGTTTTTTGACGTTTTATACCATACTATACTATGACATTTTATGGCATTTTCATGCCGTACTATACTATGTCATTTCATGCCTTGCCATGCTATGGCGTTTTTATGACCTTTTATACCATAATATACTATGATGTTTTTTGACGTTTTATACCATACTATACTATGACATTTTATGGCATTTTCATGCCGTACTATACTATGTCATTTCATGCCTTGCCATGCTATGGCGTTTTTATGACCTTTTATACCATAATATACTATGATGTTTTTTGACGTTTTATACCATACTATACTATGACATTTTATGGCATTTTCATGCCGTACTATACTATGTCATTTCATGCCTTGCCATGCTATGGCGTTTTTATGACCTTTTATACCATAATATACTATGATGTTTTTTGACGTTTTATACCATACTATACTATGACATTTTATGGCATTTTCATGCCGTACTATACTATGTCATTTCATGCCTTGCCATGCTATGGCGTTTTTATGACCTTTTATACCATAATATACTATGATGTTTTTTGACGTTTTATACCATACTATACTATGACATTTTATGGCATTTTCATGCCGTACTATACTATGTCATTTCATGCCTTGCCATGCTATGGCGTTTTTATGACCTTTTATACCATAATATACTATGATGTTTTTTGACGTTTTATACCATACTATACTATGACATTTTATGGCATTTTCATGCCGTACTATACTATGTCATTTCATGCCTTGCCATGCTATGGCGTTTTTATGACCTTTTATACCATAATATACTATGATGTTTTTTGACGTTTTATACCATACTATACTATGACATTTTATGGCATTTTCATGCCGTACTATACTATGTCATTTCATGCCTTGCCATGCTATGGCGTTTTTATGACCTTTTATACCATAATATACTATGATGTTTTTTGACGTTTTATACCATACTATACTATGACATTTTATGGCATTTTCATGCCGTACTATACTATGT